AATAACCATGATCAAAGCTCTTGATCCTGTGGATACTTTTTTACAAACTAAAGTAAAGCCTAAAGGACAGTTTCAAATATCAAGTGAGCATGGTAAAATTTGACGTCAATGTTTGCGCAGGCCAATATCAAATAACCAACACAATCAACATCCCAGGGAAAAAAAAGATGAATTGTTTCACAAGAAAGAAATTGTTATTCACTTGATAATGTAAACCCAAGTCTTATGGACCTTTTAGTCTTACGTTTGTTTTGAACAGAAAATAAGAAGGAACCCTTTAGTAGCAATGTGGGACAGGAAAGTATGATTGTCTGAATAATGAACTAGAAGCACCTTGGGACAATATCATTCATTCAATACCAAGAAAAAGCCAGACAGATAAACAGAAACAAGTGAAAGGGGAAAGGAATGACCGATCAGTGGCATCCTCCAACCACCCTATGGAAGCTGAGCAAAAAGGCAGATCACAAACACACAAGTAAGAGAAAAACAGAAAAAACATAGTATAGGGTGGTCCTAATTAAAAGCCCTGCCAGATGCACTCTGTCATACAAAAATAAATAAACCAAGCTATTCTTGGGACTGCAAAAAAGCAAAACAGACACAAATACCACAGAAACCACAAGCACTATACATATGGGATGGCATATAATGACTATACGCCACAGGACTCAAAGCCTGAGCACACTCAACAAGAAATTTGTTGTATGTTTTCCGTGTGAGGGCACATCATCGACATACCTCATAAATCACTATGATACTTTAGCTTTAACAGACAAGCTGTTGCCACACGCAAAGAACTGTTTTTAAATGGAGTGACTTTTTCTATTGGATTACAAGACAGAAAATCTGTATAATAAAATATGTTTTCCGTCATAATATGCTTTTGATCTCGACTTTGAGATTAAAAAGGATGGGTTAATTCTCTTTAAAATTTCAATTTCACATCAAGAGTAGAAAACCAGGGACATGGAACTATACAACCTTGAAAATAACAGTTAAAGACAAGTTTGGCCTGTCAGTGAAAAAACTAAAAAATTTAATGACATTGGCAAACAGAGGGACTTTGAGTCTTTTCATCCTATTACAGATTTTTTGGTAACACTGTAGAGAATATATATCTTAGAATGAACATGGTAAGCAAAACTGCACCATAACAAGTTAATCCTTTAGTGTTGAAATAAAGTAAAGATGATAGAACATGATAGACATATTCATATATATATAAAATATATTCTAAAAACAATCCCACATGGGAACTAAACTGTCAAAGTCTTCTGTGTGCAGGTGAAACATCACAACAGATGCTGGTATTTCCAAAGAAGGGAAAATGGGCTAACGGTTTAAATGGACAAAGAAAAGGGTCGTGAGAGAGAAAGAGACATACTAAGAAAGACAACAAGAATAAGTTTGTAAAAAAAGGAAAAGCAGCAATGGCCTAATATTAAATTGTCCTGCAAAAAAGAGAGCATTTCATTAAGCCACAAGTTCACATAATGTTGATTTGAGTATAAAGACTCACATTACACCCATATAGCGTGGTTCAGCAAGTAGTTGCTCAGACAATTAATGATACGGTAACAACACCAGATTAACCATGCTGCTGAGCACTGAATTTGTATTCTTAGTGTGCGGCTAAACCCTATTTTCACACGTAATTTGATAACCCCTAATAAACAAATTATCTCCGCAGCAAATTTAAATCAGACTTTCATTATAAGTGTTTTGATAAATAACACTTTTCTTTTAACTTTTACAAGCAGTAATTGCAATCCAGTCAGAACAGGAACAACTGACATATATAATTTGTTCGTAGAGGCAATTTTAAGCAACAACAGCATAGGAGGTAACCTGAACAAGCCATGAACAAATACAGCAGAAAATAATGGAGGGAAAGTATAAGTATTAGGAAAAGGTACAAAATAACAAAACTTGACAAACAACAAAATTGAGGGCATAGACACAACAGCAAAATACATGATCAAGGATCATTATCACTCCTCAAGACCAATCATTATCAATCAACTGAGATGAAAAAAAAATAAACTGCAATAGACTTTGTTTCAAACAAACTTTTTGTTAAAAACGAAGGATGTCAAATCCCTGTTTTTCTTCCCTCTCTTTTTCCGTGTATTGCAACTCTTCCTTTAACAGGAATAAAAGATATATCTGCTAAACACAAAGAAATTTTATGGTCCTGTGAAGTTCGTGTTATCAACGTTCTACAGTAGTAATAGCTGGTGGCTTTGATTAGCTGGGTAAACAAAGCTCACTAGATCAACTCAATTCAAACGAATTCAATTGGCAGAGTGCACTGAGTAAGTAAAAGGCAAAGAGCCTTGCCACTGTGCTACATGCCGCCATGAATTCAAACTGTTGATACTATAATTTCATATGAAGTTGTAAGAAATCAGGTATGATCACCTCCTTTCCACCCTTTCAATCTGTCAGACCAGTGTCAGGACATTGGACTAAACCTAGAGTGAGGCACTCCCCCCCCCCCTCCCCCCTTTGATTTTACATTTATACAGTCGAACCTGCTTTGACGGAAACCTGGGTAAGATGGAAAACTGTCATATTACGGAATCTCCCTGCTTCCCCCCCCCCCCCCCCCCCCCCGATAAATTCCTCTATAATTACCTCTCTATAAAATAGAAACCTGTCTAACGTAGAAATGGAAAATAAAAATTCTTTCAATTCGGAGGGTTTTTACCTCTGTCTAAGACGAAAAATGCTATGCCCACTCACTGACTCAGCCCAGATTCAAAACAAAACTAAAAGTTTGGCTTCATCGGCTTTTTACTCTAACCTTTACACCATTCCGCCAGGGGAGGATTAGGAGGTGCGACTTGTTGGTAGATGTTAACCCATCCATGTGAGCCCTCAGCGGTGCAGACGGTCAGGGTGGTGTGGATATGAAATCTCACCAGTGCCTGTGGAAGTGCTCAAGCGGCACTCTAGCACTGAGAAACCTCCTTGGATAGCCAGGGGCCAGAGGAGTTAAATTAAGTCTTGACCAATGCCCAGATTGAACGGTCAGCCGAGGTAAGTTCCTCAAATCGTAGATATATAGCCTAGATGGGCGTCATTGGTCAACAATGGTTGAAATTGAATGTGTTTAATATACTGATGGGTTGGGCGGTAAGATTGAAGAATACCGGACCAGCGGACTGACTTTGCCTATGTCTCAACCTTAGAAATTCATAATTTTCCCGTTTTTAATATCTCTCAATGGAGAATCTCGGACCGGTAGATCTATTCATTAACATTTTGTCGGGGGGGAGACCCCCCTGAACCCCCTCCCCCCTCCTCCACCCCAACCACCCGCCCCACCTACCCCACTTTCTCGCACAATAATGTACGAGTGGTCCGGTATTCTTCAATCTTCCCGGTTGGGCTGAGAGTAGAAGCAAAGGAGATTTTCATACGTTTCTGTTTTTAATGGGACAAACAGTAGTCCTATGGGTAAATTTTTACTTTCACTCCCGCACACAGATGCACTGTTTCAGGGGTCAAACTGCTGTACTGTCTGCTGCAGATCACACATAAAGCCACTAAAACTGTCGCAAATCAATTATTTTCAAGACAATTTCAAATCTAACTGTAAAATATCAAATTATGGGTGTAAAAACAGGGGGGCATGCCCCCCTGTAACCCCCCAGATTTTCTTTTACCCCAGTGGGGCAGGCCCCCCTGGAACCCCCCGATTGGTCCAAAGCATGTCTATCTCGGTTAAAAACAATCAAATATTTCAAAAACCATTCATTTGCGACGGAAATGAAGTTGATATTCGTGTTCAGCGCATCAATATTTAGTAGAAAATAGACAACTGGTAGCTGAGTGTGAGACGGGAGGGAAAGTTTAAAAAATACCGTCCTATGAAATGCAAGCACAGGTGGCAGTATCAGTTGATAAAGTGCTCCACCTCTCCCCCAATTCCCCTGTTTAAAACATCATTTTTTCTGGTTCACTTGTGATTCCGATTCTGCCTTACTCTTACACAGGTTCGACTGTATGTACGCCTAGGCCAGGATGAAGATGGCTACCGCAAGGATTAATATTTGATGAGCTCCTTTCTTCACTGTTAACCCTAATCTAAGTGAATAAGGGAAATGGAGGCCCCAACTACTATAGATCTGTGCATGACCCTAGCTTGTGACTGATCCTTGGGCTTGGGCATAAATTTCATTCATCTTGTCATTCTTGGGCACAGCTGTCAACGTGTGACAGTGAAGACTGTGACATTCATTAATATTCTTATTCTTTTTAAATTAAGAAATCTAGGCGATCAGACCGGAACAGCCGGTAACTGAATAGACCTAGAATCTAGTCAAGATCAAGATAGAGTGTAAGTAGAGAGTCTAGTGTGTAAAGTGTGTTGCTGTGTTGCTGAATTAGAATGATCAGTGTCTTGTCCTGTGTATAAATATAAATAAGAGACATGCCGGCAATATCTTGCCCAATCAAGGACAAGGATAGGCTACATCTTAAGTCCTTTTTTTGAACAGCTCAATTTTCCATACAAGAAACAAAAATTGTGTTTTTGACGGGAGAATAACTAACTTACAATTTATCTTCTTCAACTTCATAGTCCAGCATTTCGTCAAACATTGTTCAGACTCTTGTGTTCGTTTCGATGCGGAAGTGACGACCTATAAATCTCATAAATGCGCACGCACCCCTCTGTTTACGTTTTCTTTCAAGCAAGAAATTATTGGCTGCAAAGCAGGCTAGGCTTGGGGGTGTGACCATTACTGACCAATGAACGGCAGCGTTGTTGAGCATTCTAGTTATTTGAAAGACTTGGTCGGTAAGGTTTACATATTATCCAATTTCCATACTACCATTAAATATGTAAAACTATAGACTATCAAAAATATATTTATACACTTTTTAAAAATCATATCCAAATAAAAATTGAATATATGGCGAATCAATACTCAACAACTCTCTGTTGATTGGAAAAAAAAATAAGAAGAAATCAGTGCTGCTCTTATCGCAGTTCAAGGTTGTCCTTACTCCGGTGAGCTGAATAAAACAAACCATGCCCATAACAAACCTCAGATAGAGTGCAGACAGAACTACAGTGCACAGAACATTATAAGTGGTGAACGATTGAGACAACTTCAAGGAACAGCCTAGTGACTCACTCAGGTAACTTATAGTTTCGGGGCTGTTTTCTATTATTGTTATCCATTGATAATTCGTTGTGTGCTCAGTAGTTGAAATAGACAGAAGTAGTCTATCGTTTGTTTTCAGTTTCGAGTGTTTGTTCGTCCAGCGGCATGCAAGAGGATAGGAAGAGTCTTGAGTTGAGAAAATGTAAATTGTATAGAATACCATTTCTTCTAAAAAGAGAAAACTGATTGTCCCCGATGTTTGCATATTATCATAATAACTGTGCCTTTGTTGGTGTGGTGTGGAGGGCAAGTGTACATTTTGACAAGCGGGGCCGACTTTGTTTACGTGAATATAGACTGCAGATCTTATTCACGAGGTAGACGAGAGGCCCTCATTGGGTGTAACCTTAAAAAAAAAATAACGGTCAGGTTTACAGTTTGCAACATACTGAACGTGACTTATACTGCGCATTTGCCTTGGTCGAACAAAATTGTATAGTAGGCCTATTAGATGTCTTTTGTCATATCATGTTTTGCTTTTACGCTGTGTGCTAAAGTCGCCATGCACGAAACAAGTAATAAGGTATGGGCCTAGATCTACACTTTGTATCCGTTTCAAATGAAGAGCAAAAGAGGCCCAAGTTTTATCTCCGCCTGAGCTCTCTTGGTTGGCCATGCGTAGATATATATATAATTATATACACGTGTTTATTTTGGAGATTTGGGGACGGATCGAAGGGAAGACCAAATGTAGGCTAAGGGGAAAAGAAAAGTAAAGCCTAGATTCTAGATTATGGTGGGAGATGGTCTTTCTGTCGCCATCCAATTGTGTTGACCCATTGTTGCTCAGTGCTGTATACATCTGATTTAGATCTAAATAGAGATTATAAGGCACAATATAATTGTATACACACACAGCCGCGCGCGCGCGCACGCACACACACACACACACACACACACACACACACACACACACACACACACACAATCCATCATGACTTGAAATTGAAGGAATTCGATAAGCATGTAGATCTAGTATAAAGTTCTCCACTCAAACTATTGTGACAAATGTGAAAAAATGCAATATATATATGTATGTGTGTCATTAATGCAATTTTGTTACATGTTCAAGTAATTTTATTCTCAGAGAGCTGTTTAAAGTAGGCCATACAGTAATATAACCAATAACTAATATTATAGTAATACTACAATATAATTATGATAGCAACGGCTCCACTTAATCAACTCAATGCTCATTTATTGTTATGCCTAGCCTATGCATGGGCCAATATTTTTTGTGACTGCTGGCTGGTCTGTTTAATTATGGTCTACCGACTTGTGCGCATGTTTTTCTTGATGTATCTCTTGACGTCTTCTCTATTCTTCCCGATGGGGGTAAATAACCGCCAGCTTCAGTAAAGAATATCTTTGAAAGCTGTTTAGACATACACGGTAAATAACTAATAATATAGGCCTACAGAGGGCCTCGGACAACGTCCTGGCCTGAGGCCTATATACGTTCTTATAATACTCTGACCGTCTAACCTGAGGCACATGGGTCAAGTATAGCCTATCCAGTTCAGACTGGTTTGTTATCTGGACTCCGTTTGTGTAGCCTATACACGTGTCTGTAATCTTACATAGTCTAGTGGCGGCCTCCTGCCGGGATCACAGTGTAGGCCAGTGATTTACGGTCTCTGGGTCACACCGTGGTATTAAAAAAATTGGTATTAGCACCACTCTAGCGTAGACAAGTTCATATTCATGAAGGGCCTTATAATATGTTTCCATCTGGGGCTAATGTGTACATTTAGAATGAATAACCTTTATTATTATATAGGTTAGTTGGACTGGTGTGTTGACAGTGCCTTTGAAGTCTAGATTTTTTTAAATTGTTGATTTTGTTTGGATGTGCTTTTTTTCTTTTTTTCTTTTTGTTGTTGTTATTTGAGAGGGGGGTATTGGTTTTTGGTTGTTTGTTGTTTTGTTTGTTTTGTTTTTGTTTGTTGTTGTGGGTTGTTTTGTTTGTTTGTTGTTGTTTTTGGGGGGGGGTTATGGTGCATGAATTTGCCACGACACTTGCTTGCTCCACGCCCACGTAGGTCGGTGTGAGATGGATATTATTAATATATTGACACAACGCGCTCCCACGTGGATACGCTATGCGATCAGTTTTTACAAAATGTAAATAGAGACATCTGTGATGAAAAAAAAGGCAGCCAGCATTGAAAACTTTCAAAAAGCTGTTGCCTGCAGCCCCGTATCCAAACGATAAAAAGATGTTGTTGTAATGTGTACCCGCCTTGAATTATCATCACAACATCACGTTGGTTGCGCATGGGCTACCTTTAAAAATAGGAGCTGCGTGAAGAAATATAAATATCCACTTCAGCTTCAACAGTTTTGTGCGCTCCAATACGCCTGAGTGGTCTGACCTAGATTTTAGTTTATTTATTAAGTAGGCCAGTGTTTTGTTTATCGCGTTTGTATTCATGGGTATGAGTCTATCGTTACTTTTATCTTGGCACCCTCTTAAATTTCAAATTGAAATAGCCCTGCGAACAAATAACCTAGCTTATTCTAGTAGTTTGCTTATTAATGCTATAGTTATTTCATGCCGTGTTCACCCCCCACCCCCCCCCCCCCCCCCACAGCCACTCAATGTGCTAACTTTGCTGCTTCTTTTTTTTTTTATTGCAGTTGCAATACAAGTCTGTAAACACTGCGTCTTTAGAATCAAGTTACCTCTAGATCTCCCAAGAGCAGACCTCCAAAAGCTCAGAAATGGGTAAGTTTTTTCCGAGGACTAATAGATAAACCAGCTGCTGTTTAAAAAAATGCTAATATCAGGGCTTGTACCTTGATTAGAGCATTCTGAAAAGATCCTCTCTCAAAGATAATCCTGCTGGAGTTTGACTCTTTTCCCCTATACATGGCAAGTGCAAGTGAAGGATTTCAAATAGATCTGAATCTTTCTATCTTAATGTAAATAAATGAACAAATAGGCCTAGTTTGATAGGAAATCGGTTAAGACTCCACACCTTTTTGAAATAACTTAAACCAGTTATATGCCTTTGTAAAGTGGATTGTCTATTTTTGAAGTCATACTTTCATAAAGTGGTAACACACTGCTATTATGCTTATCTACTTTAGCTTTTTTCACCCAGAATGGCATCTTTAGGTCGTATCAATCTTTGATTTTCCATATTTTTTTGGTTCAGTACTTATTTATATTATTCAGTCATTGAATATCTTTCAAGTGGGCTGAAACAGGAAGATCTTTCTTCGGGTACATGGACAAACCCAACCTCAAAGACCCGTCGAATCTCTAATGTAGAGCTGATCGGACTTTGATCTTCAGAGCGCGCACAGGACACTTACACACCAACAAGCTCATAAACAGAATTAATTAACCCCATGTGGGAACCCCATTGCAGACACTGTGACTACCACTAGGAGACCTTTGAACATCTTCTCCTTCACTGCCCAAACCTGGCAGTTCTTCGACACAGGCTCCTACACACACCTACAGACTTACAAAGCCTGCTCTACTCTGGCGTTTACCAGATGACAAGGACATGTGGTTACTTGAGGGAGGCATTGCGCTGCCAAGAGCGAAATGCTTACAGCTAAAGGGATTTGAAAACAACAACAACATCATTCAAGTGTGGATATAATTTTTTTATATACTTTCTCTGTGACCAGCAAGTATGATTCTGTCCACATCAAACTGCAGAAAAATGTTATGAGACTGAATAGTCCAATGTTGATTAAATTGAGATGAACTCGTATGTATAGCCTAATATTCCATGATCCTTTCACTTCTTTTCTTTTTTTCTTTCAGCCCTGACTTTAGGCCCTGAGTCATCATTTCGAGAGTATTTCAATGACAACTGGGTGTGGGATGGTAGTTCCAAACCCCCTGAAGTCCAGTTGTCTTCAAATTTTGAAGATGCATACTTCTACATCGACCCTGTCATTCAAAGCACAGGAACAGTAGGTAAGGACAAGCCATATCCTTTATTCCCTTCAGAGATGTGTAGAGTTTTAGGTATTGAAGGATGGGTGGTTGGTGAGTCCTCTGGTGTGGTTTGCTCCTTTCTTTCCTATTAAAAGTCTATTATCGTCCTTATCTCTCCTACTTCTTTTTTTATGTTTGTTACTATCTTGTAACAGCTCTTAAACTTCGATATGACCTAAGTGGGTTGTAAAACTCCTACTAAAATTTAAGCCATTATTTATTCATATGATTTAGGGGGTTGGTTGCTCTTACCCTACCTAGCTGGCATGATAAAAGTGAGGTAAAGATCATATTGGGATCTTGTTGCTTTCCAGAGATCCTGATTTATCTGCTCTGAGCACATGTTTGGCAATTAGTTATATCTTGCTACTTTGTGTTGCATTATAATAGCAATGACCAATCTTTATCCTCCACAGCTGTCCGAGGAAATAAAGGTTTTGCAGATGGCGAGCACTACTGGGAGATTCTCTTCCTAGAGCCACCAATTGGAACATCAGTGATGGTTGGTGTAGGCACACAGAAAGCAGTCCTGAGGTCTAACTTGTACCAATATGTGAATCTAATAGGTATGTACTCTGTTGCTTTTTGCTTCATGCAATTGTGTTTTTCTCCTTTACAGTTGCTGTTAAGCAGCGTGGGGAGATGCCGTTTTCTACGGCAGGCCAGCTCAGCACCTCTTTCAACTGGGATAATATAATTTTTCAGATTTCCTTGACTCGCTCAATCCATCTTTTGCATGGTTTACCTCTTCCATATTATTATAGCCTGTGTACTAATTAGTGTTTTAGGCTCTTAAGACTGGCTGGCAAGGTAACATTCGTATCTTGCTGCTGAATGTGATTTTCAAAATAATATTTTGTTTTTGATTTGTTCAGTGCCATATATAGAGTTCAAAGAATTATTTCAGAGGATTTTTTGTTGAAAAAGAATGTTACACCTTTTTGAGAGTACATGTGCTTGATGCATTTCTATATTCGAAGGTACTGTTGCTTGTATTGCACTTTCAACAGAGAAGATGTCTTATGTCAAATGGAGTACTTCTTCATGAACTTCTTTTCTTTTACTGAAAATTATCACCTGTTCTATTTTAGCTACAATTTGTCTCTAGGCTGTACTTTCATCGGCAGAGCTGTCAGATTAATGATTATGTCTTTTTCTTATACTTTCATCATCATCATCCGGTGCCTTGCCGACTGGCGTGGGCGATCATGGACCTCCACTTCCCTCTGTCTTTCGAAGCAGCAATGGTGTCTGTTGTTCTTGCTGCTCCCAGCCATGTTGTCATCTTGTCCAGTATCTTTTCCCTCTGTCTGCCTCTACCTCTCTTTCCATCAAACTTTCCTGTTGTTACAATGTTCTCTAATGCTTCTTTCCGCATTGTGTGTCCGAAAAAATTTGCCTGTCGTTTTCTTATACTTTGCCATTGTCAATAAGACAGATCTGTAGGTTGTCTTTGTATGCAGTTTTATGGTTCTGAGTTAAACCGTCTTCACATGTCTCTTCCTCCTATCTAATTTTTTTTTCATTATATTAATGTATATTTTGGAACTAGTCATATTTGATCCAACTGGCATTGCTTGTATAAGTCTTAACCAATATTACTATTTTTTTCTTTCACTAGGTCAAGATCAAGAAAGTTGGGGCTTGTCCTACAAAGGTAAAATCTGGCACAACGGAGTCAGTAAGGAATATTGTGATCCCTTCTTTGATACGACAACTGTGATTGGTGTTCTCCTCAACATGTACAAGGGTACCCTGACATTTTACAAGAATGGTGTCAGTTTAGGAGAAGCTTTCACTGGACTGAACACAAAATGTGAGCCACTCTACCCTCTCATCAGCTCCACAGCTACTGAAACCGAACTTGGCCTTGGAGTTCGGACATGCAGATATCTGACGCTCCAGGAGAAGTGTTTTTCCATGATTCGCAGCAGTTTGAAAAACATTGACAACGTAGATAATTTGCCTCTGCCAAATCTCATGAAAAACCACATTCGTGAGTTGTAGCAAATTATGGAAATCATTTCAACTGGTAAGTGTAAGACTCCGCCATACACCTTTTTGAAAAGTGACATATGACGGAGTCTCACACTGAGCAGTCGATTTTTCTTGCTGCTGAATTTGCGTTTTCTGTGATCTTTGACCTGGCTGGCTACCCCTGAGATGTGCACAGGTTAAACCCCTATCTCAGGGTATGATTGTCAGTGGTTCAAGCATAAGAATGGAATGATGCTCTTCTACATTATGTATGGCACATGAAATGTCACATTTCTGTGCAATAAGAATTTCAATTTTGAGAGTTGCAGGTCTCTATAACAATAATTTAAGCTTGAAAAACACTAAGGGGATCTATTTGCACAGAAACCTTTAGTCTGTTTCCAGTTTATGAAAGGACAAAATGCCTAACCATCTTTTTAAAGACAAAGATGGATGAGAAAGAGCACTTAAGGTTGATCTCAAGGTACTTTTGCACACTCTGAAGGCAATAGTTGTGTTGTCAAGTATTACAAGCCTTTGTTTATTTTAAAGCTTTCTTACCATCTTGAGTACTGAGCAATTGTAGTCATTCTTACAACTACTCTAGCATTGAAATAAGAGCTTGTCTTTGTTGTAGACAGCCATTTTTCTGCAATTTGTTTAATGTGCTGTAAATATACTCTACCATTTCAGTCTAATGACACATTCCTGCTTTGATATTACTTTTTTTAAATTGTCAGCTGTCGGATAGACACTATGCAAATAACATTTTATATAATTATCTGATTGCAATCTTGTTCACCTTTTTCACACCTCCTGACTCCTGTTGTAAAAACGTATGTATATATAATGTATATATTTGTAGATACTCATATGCTTGTATGTGGTGAAATAAGTGGAATATAAGGCGGTATACAGAATAGAAGTTTCATGTAACTGCTTATACTGTTGATATTTTTTTTATTGTTTTGATTTTTGGAGGGCAGTGACTAGTGCGTAGAGCATTGTCCTTTCTTTCAGTCTATTGACATGACAGATCTCATCAAGTGCTAAATTCTCGTCAAAATGCAGATGATCACTTCCAATACATCTTCTTTATTTGTTATTAAGCTGTTAAAAGTAATGACCTATTTTTTCTTTTTTTTTAAAGTTGGAGCATTGTCCTATGTTTTCCTGAATTCTTGTATTTTGTTTTTGGAATACGAGTCTTAAACTATTTTACTTTTTGTTTATTATGCACATTTGAACTTCATGTAGGCCTACACAAACACTATAGGGTGAGACTGCATGTGGAAGTCCTCGGTTTCAGGAAATCTACACTCAAGTTCATTCAGGTGTGGGTCTTGGATCATAGGATCACAATGTTCACTCTGCCGTGTCAAAGCAAAGTGATGTATTTGACAAAGTCAAGTTTTGTTGGTTTGTTAGTTTGTTAATGAGAGTACTCTTGCCCATATATATACTTCTTGTGTCAAAGGCAGGACAACATATCTTTATCTGAAATAGTAGTTTTCAAAGTGGTTAAGCTACGTGACTGATCTCAACAATCCTATTGTGGATGGTAGAATGACATGCATGTTTCTACATGTTTGTTCCACCATGTTTAGAACTATTCATAACTTTAGACAGGCTAAGTTTCAAAAGTTTTTATAATTTTTTTCAAAATTATTAAATCTGCAGTTCCATTGCTCTCCCTTTTGATGGCAGCATCGTCTTATCTGGTTCACAGCTCTTTGTTGCTGTAAAGCGCTGGGTTCTAATAATATTTGGGTGTATGTCAATGCATTTGCAGTAGAATCTATATATATATGTAAAGCAGATGTCTTCTTGTGAACAGAAAAAAAGGAGGGGGGAAATGCATTAAAATGATTGCAAGAACTGGAGGGGTTTTAAATAATTTTATACCTGAGTTGTCACTTTTGCTTGTAAATGGCTGTATCCATCCTTTGGTGCCCCACTCTTGCCACAACAGGACATGCCTCCATCTTCGTAAAGTTGTAGATCCCTTTTGGATTTTCAAAGTACAGTCAGGCACAGATGACACTGACAAAGACAATCTTTATTCATCTCGCAGGGAGAAATTTGTCTTGGTCATTTACAATGGCAGTAGACGTTACAAAGGACAGGTGCACTCACTCTCTCTCTCTCTCTCTCTCTCT